TACTTGTCGCCTACGTCGACAACTTACTTTATATCAGCAGCACGGATTCTCTTGCTACTGTCTTCGAACAGAAGTTTCAACCGAACTTACAGATTAATATCGCCTCTACAGTCACACAATTTCTCGGACTGAATATCTGCCGAACCGAAACTGCTATTCATCTTACAGCTTCCAAATATAGAACTACGCTAGCCGCACGCTTTAATCTCACGGCTTCAACTGTCACTACTCCTTACCGATCTCTACCGAACAACCATCAGCTGGATTCTACTCCACTCGATAACAGGAACTACAGCTTTATCAGCAGCAACTAGGTTGCCTTCTATTCGCAGCTGTTACGTGTCGTAGCCAGTTCGCGCAATTTCTGCGTCGACCTGAGGGGGAGAATTGGCTAGATCTTCTTCGCGCTCTGCAATATTTCATTTCGACACCTGAAGTCAGACTTACCTACCAAGCTACTACTACGAAAACCTTATATCTTAACGAGTATGTCGATGCTGACCATGCAGCAGATACTATTAATCGACGATCGCGAACCGGGCTCATCTATCGCCTCGAGCCTATTGGAACTATCTCGTGGAATTCTACCAAGCAAGAGCTAGAAGCTCTTTCATCTGCTGAAGCCGAGTTTATAGCTGCCTGTACAGCTACTCGCGAAGGTCTCTATCTACAAGAGCTACTGGAGGAGGCGAAATTGACGACATTCATCCAGCTCGCCGAAGCCGCTGATTTGCTCACGAAGCCGAGGACGAACTTCTACGACGGAGGTCACCCTCGAGAACAGTACCAGGGCGCCACGATAAAAGGGATGGACGCAGTGGATATTTACGCAGTTGCTCTGCGCAATACGGGGTTATACTACCACTGTGGCCGACCAGGTCACATCCGACGCATTAGCCCAGAAATCATAGCCACTCAGAATTCTATGGGGAAGAAGCCGGAGGAGCGGCCGGGAAATGGGTCGCATCAGTAAGTACCAGGCCCCTTACTGACGGGCAGGCTTCTTCGCCCGAACCACACAGTACCCACCGGGTCGTGATCCCGATTGCTGCAATCGACCGGACCCAGACAAATAAGGGGGACGAAAATGGTGATCACCCTGTGTTGGTGGAGGGTAAAGTCAACGGGGTGTTGCTGAAAATATTTGTGGATGGAGGCGCGAGTCACTGTCTGATATAGCTGGACAGGGTTTAAAATTTGGGGATTCCCTTACTTAAGTGTCTACCCGAAATTGACGCCCGACTAGTGGATGGAACACCGCTGGCTATATGGGAAAGAGTGGAGAACGTCAGCTTTCATTGAGGGGAGCACGTAAAATTTTGGATGGGGCTGCTGGCGACTACACTCGATGGATGCGATGTGCTACTGGGACGGGATTGGCTGCGACAGTACAACCCGAAGATCGATTAGACGACGGGCGGCTGCAGCATCAAACTCGATGGGATTCATCGCGAACTCCCAAAATGGACAGGGCCTCGCATGCGAAACACCCAAGTCCATGCGATAACTTTCAAGCACGCGATAAAAGCGGGAGCTGCAGCGTATGCCGTCGATCTTCGCGAGGTGACGTCGCCGACAACAGCCGAAGATATCGCGAAGCTGTGCGAAGCTGTCCCTCCGGATTTAGCGGACCTGATTCGGAAGTACCCCGAGATTTTCCCCGACGACCTGCCCGCGGGACTGCCACCAAGCCGACCGGAAGACCATCGCATCGAACTGGAACCAGGCGCCCAACCGACAGTGCAGCGACAATTTCGGCTCAGCCAACCGGAACTGGAAGAATTGCAGCAGCAGCTGGATTACCTCATGACGAAAGGTTTTATCTGGCCTAGCACGTCCCCCTACGCCGCTCCGACACTGTTCACACCGAAGAAGGATGGAGGATTCCGCATGTGCATCGAGTACCACGCGCTCAATAGGATCACAATCAAGTCGTGTTACCCGATCCCGCGAGCTGACGACCTACTCGACCAAATTCGCGGAGCCAAGTTCTTCTCGAAAATCAACTTGCGAGGAGGTTACCTTCAAATTCGCGTCGCCGTCGAAGATTGTCACAAAACCGCCTTCCGGACCCGCTACGGCAGCTACGAATACCTGGTGATGCCCTTTGGCCTCACGAACGCGCCCTCGACCTTCCAGATGACCATGAATGGCGTTGTCAGGGAACTCTTGGATAAATGCGTTATTATCTACCTTGACGATACACTAATCTACAGCCGCAGCAGGGAGCAGCACTTACAGGATCTTGATGCAGTCTTCACGCTGCTGCACAAGAATCGCCTCATCACGAAAGGGTCTAAGTGCGACTTTCTTAAGCAGGAGTTGGAGTTTTTGGGCCACGTTGTCTCGACCGAAGGAGTGAAAATCGACCCCAAGAAAATCAAGACCATACTGGAGTGGAAGCCGCCAACCAACATCAAGGAGTTGCAGAGTTTTTTGGGTTTTGTCAACTACGTCCGCCGATTTATCCCCAATATGGCTGGGTTATCTGTCCGCTAACTGACCGACTCAAGGATCATGATTGTTTTTGGTGGGGAGAGAAGCAGCAAGCTGCATTTGACCAACTGAAGATCGCCCTCACGTCGCCGCCCGTTCTCCGCATCTCCGATCTCGACCGTCCATACGAAGTCATCACCGACGCCAGCGACATCGCCATCCGCGCAATTCTCCTACAGGATTTCGGCAACGGACTACAGCCAGTCGCCTACGAATCATAGAAGCTGCAGGGCGTGGAAAAACTATACAGTCCACGACAAGGAAATGCTGGCGATCGTCCACGCATTCAAGATCTGGCGGTGCTACCTGACAGGCGCTGACGTCACCGTGCGGACCGACCACAAATCCTTACAGTACCTGCGAGCTCAACCAAATCTAAACCCGCGACAGATCCGATGGCTTGATTTCCTCGAGTCGAAATTCCATTACACCATCACCTACAAACGGGGCGCCAACAATATTGCCGATGCCCTGACTCGACCCACTGCCCATACCGCCGCCATACTAGTCGCCCAGACCAGCCCTCTACTTACTGGACTATTTACCCACGGCTACAAGATCGACCCGTTCTCCTGCTCCGCCATTCATCAACAGCATACCACCGACGCCGGACACTATTTTAACAAGCGCGATACTGCTCACATCTGGGTGCCCGGCTACGATTTACTTCGTACCCTGCTAATACAGGAATCCCACGACAACACTACCTCCGGACATTTCGGAGTCGACAAAACTACGAAGACGTTGCAGCGCAACTATTATTGGCCGAACATGGCTGACGACGTGCGCAGGTACGTATCCTCCTGCACCGCCTGCCAAATCATAAAATCCTCTCATCAGCGAGCAGTCGGACTCCTACAGCCGTTGGATCCGCTCGAGCGACCCTGGAAACATATCACGATGGACTACGTGACGGGATTGCCAGCCGGTCCCAGCGGGAACTACGCCATCCTCGTGGTCGTTGACCGACTCACGAAAATGGTGCACTTCATCGCCTGCCAACAGACAATTACAGCTGAACAAACTGCCCAACTGTTCATCGCCAACGTCATCCGACTGCACGAACTGCATACCGCAATTATTTCCGACCGAGACCCGAAATTCACATCGAATTTCTGGCGCCACCTGTGGGACCAGTTCGGTATCAAACTGCAATTTTCCTATGCCTACCACCCACAAACCGACGGGCAGACCGAACGAGTCAACCAAACTATGGAACAACTCATTCGAACTACCTGTGCTGACCCACAGACATTGGAGAAATCCCTTCCGCTGCGGGAGTTTGCGTATAATAATGCGCCCTCCGCCGCCACCCATCAGTCCCCCTTTTTTCTCAACTACGGACAGGACCCGATGGTACCCTCTACCCCGAACATCGAGACACCCGTGCCCCGGTCCCAGAAATTCGCTGAAGACATTCTCGCCGCCCGAGAAAAAGCAGCTGAAGCCATCAAGAAAGCCAACTTGGTCGTGAGCCGACATGCCGATCGCCATCGACGTGACGTCACTTACAAAGTGGGAGATCTCGTCCTACTCGACACTCGCAATTTGCGGCTGCCGATTCTGAGCAAACTCCGACCCAGATTCTGCGGGCCCTTTCAAGTGATAAATATGGTGACACCTGTTACTGCTCACCTCCGACTTCCGACCGACTGGCGTCACCACCCGGCTTTCCACGTCAGCCTCCTACGACCCTACGTCCCCAGTTCGTCAGAATTGGCACGACAACGCAGTGTACCGCAGCTGACGCCCCTGCAGGAACCGATGACCGAGTCCTTGAAAATTATGGGCCATCGAGTCATGACGCAGCTGACCCGTCGGCTGGTTGATTTCCTCGTCCGCTGGCATGATCGCACGTCCGAAAATGACAGCTGGGTGCTGCTCGCTGAGCTAGAATCACATCCGATTATAACAACGTATTATCAACGTCGAAAAGTTTCGGATGCCCGTGGTCTTGTTTAGGAGGGGGGGTAGTGTAAGGAATTTTTCCATTCCTTACTGAGTTGAACGCTAGCGCGTACACCCGAACTCCTCGACTCGTCACGTTCGGCCTCAATTATCGGCCCAACCCTTCCCCGAGTCGCGTCCGGCACTGTCGCCACATTGCCGAACCTACCCACGTTCCGAGGTTATCGCCCTAATACGGCAACCCCTATATAACCTTGTGCCTTCATTGCAATAGCGACCTTGTATTCCCACGTTATAGTACATAGACACTTCCTATATCATAACACCCCCAAACCAAGAAACCCCACTTAGTTTCTAGGGGCAGTCGTCCAGCATGTAGTTTCGATTGCGGTAGGGTGAGATGCCTCTCGGGTCAGAAGGATCAAGAACATTCTAGAACGGTTGGATATGGTTTTTGACAAAAACGCACACGTTAGAGATCCCCTAACAGGCTTAGCGCGTACAGCTTGGGTTCAGGCTTTGGGTGGAGGTCTGAGCCCAGTTTGTTAGTGGCGACATTCGTTAATACCAGTAGGAACCGTTTTCTGACCAAAACCGCAGCCCATGCTCCACGCCCTCAGGAACGGTTTGGCTGGAACTGGCGTGGCAGCAGTCCTCCTGGCTGGAGCCATGGTGGCAGCACTGATCCACCACCACAATTTCGGACTAGGGACCTAGGTTTGTAGGGATTATCATTTCTCTCACAGGCCGCTTAGGCGGCATTCCGTGCTTAGGAGGCCATATTCACCCCCGTGGTTAGCTGTATGTCGCGCGCAATTTGACTGGACCGCGAGACGCGATCTACGGACAGGAAGACGCGGAGTAGCATTTCAGATTTCTTCGGATCTTTGAGCTGATCATTCTAATAGTCGATCCTGAATAGTAGAACGTCAAATCGGCTGCGGGTGTATAATAGATCACACGGTGAGAACGGGGATTGGATGGGTCAGGTGAAAGGGCTGGGAGAACGGGGATACCGGAAATCTGAAGAGGATTCACCGAAACGATGGACGGTAGATGTAAGGTAGATCGTTTGAGGATGTAAGGGTACTGTACAGTGGGACTCGTAATTGCTGAGGTGGTAGGGATAATCCGCGTGGCCGAGAGAGGAGAAGGACGCGGCAGACTGCTGTGTGAGCTGTCACGGCCGTAGGGTTCGCGTGAGCCTTGGAGATTCCGAGGGAGATTGCAACGCTTGCAGTAACGCAAGCTTTGTCCAGTGCTTCGCATGGAGCGAGGCTAGGTTAGTGAGATGGATTGTCGGAGGAGGAAAGGATTGGGGGGGGGGAGGAGGGGAAGGGGAGGGGGAGGGGTGGGGGGCAGGTGGGGGAGGGGGGAAGGGAGAGGTGAGGTTGTTCCGAACTAGCGCGTCCGACCACCCGCACTAGGTTAGCACGATCTAGCGATTGCTTGCCTGTACTGGCGTAGGCGTGCGTGTTAGCCTAGTCCAGTGCTCCTAAGGTTTGTTCGGCCGAGGGAAGCATGCTCTGGCAGACTCAATTGCCGCTTGGAGTTAGTCTAAGCTTTTATTCATCACTTCCATCCGCCAATGATCATCCACCCGAAGTCATGGATCGTCCATCATACATCGTCAGTCATCTACTGTTCATATATCATCCACCGTCGATAAACCATCCACCACGCATCGTCAGCTTTTTGACAGATTTATCGACGTCATTCGTCATGCATGATCAGGCATCCACCACCTGTTTTTCAGCGTCCATCGTTCATTATTCCCCTCACAGCCTCAGCCATTTACGGCGGATGATCTACCTTATATTAATTATTCTACATGATCAAGCATCCACCACCTATTTCTCAACATTCGTCCGTCATATTCCCTTCCCCACAAAGCACCAATTATTCACCACAGATCTACCTTACATCCCACATGCATGATCCAGTTTCAATCACCCGCTACCACCACCTGCTATCACCACCTGCTGTCACCACCTGCTGTCACCACCTGCTGTCACCACCTGCTGTCACCACCTGCTGTCACCACCTGCTGTCACCACCTGCTATCACCACCTGCTATCACCACCTGCTGTCACCACCTGCTATCACCACCTGCTGTCACCACCTGCTGTCACCACCTGCTGTCACCACCTGCTATCACCACCTGCTATCACCACCTGCTGTCACCACCTGCTATCACCACCTGCTGTCACCACCTGCTATCACCACCTGCTGTCACCACCTGCTGTCACCACCTGCTGTCACCACCTGCTGTCACCACCTGCTATCATCACCATTAAGCATCCCTTGCGGATCAAGCGTCATTTCGCTCTCCGGCCCTTCCTGCTGCTCTTTGAGTCGACTCAAAAATCTCTCCGGCCCTTCCTTCTGCTCTCTCATTTCGTCACGACTTCGCATCTGCTTGCTCACTCCCCCGTTTCGACTTCCCCCTTTGACTCCCCCCTTCCTCCTCACCATCCAGCAGCAGCAACAGCCATGGCTCTCGATCCACTCGATTCGTCTCCCCCTCCTCCCGCCCACACTTCCCCCTCTCCCTCCGCCGACGTCCCCCCCGGCCCTCCGCCCTCCGCCATTCCCCCGGGCGACAGCACCGCCGCTCCCTCCTCGTTGCCGCGTAGCCCTAAGGGGAGTGACAATGGGAGCGATAAGGAGGACGATATGCTTCTACAGCCGTTGGTAGACTACGGTACTATGGACGACTGGGATGACGATGCTGACGTGGAAGACGAGCTTCTCAGGCCAGCTGTCGAGCGGGTCGGTGATTCGCCCTCCCGCCCTCCTCACTCCCCCTTGCCGGTTGCGGGAACGAGCGAGGGGGTAAGGGCGGGAAGGAAAGGGGAAGAAAGGGAGGAGGAGGAGGAAGGTGCGAGGAAGGGCGGGGGGTGGGGCAAGGGAGGGGAGCATGAGGAGGAGGGCGAGAAGGGGAGCAGTGCAGATCGTGAAGCAGTTTTAGAGGGCGGTGTTGGGGAAAAAGAGGAGGAGAGTGGCGGGGAGGGGAGAGGGGAGAGAGGGGAGAGAGGGAAGAGAGGGGCGAGAGGGGCGAGAGGGGAGAGAGGGGAGAGGGGGGAGAGAGGGGAGAGAGACGGAGGAGACAGAGTGGAGGAAGTGGATGAGTTTGGTAGGGTTGTGCGCAAGGGAGAGGGGATTGAGAGCGATGAAGATGTTATGGGTGAGAGGAAAGGGAGGAGGAGGAGGAGTAGAAGCAGGGAGAGGCACCGGGCAAAGAAAAGAAGCAGGAGCAGGAGCAGGGGGAAAGGGAGAGGGAGGAGCAGAAGCAAGAGTAGGAGCAGGAGCAGGAGCAGGCGGAGAGGGAGGAGCAGAAGCAGGAGCCGAGGGCGGGATGGAGGTGCGGAGGAGAGAGGAAGGCGAGGCAGCTCACCTGATGGCAGTAGCAGGAGAAGGTGTGGTCTTTCTCTCATATACACTCAGACGCACGCACACACACGCATGTGCGCGCGTATCTTCCCCTCCTGCTCCACTCCTCGCCCATCTCTCCCTTCTTAACAACCCCTTCTCTTTCGCCTCTGTCTACTCCGCTTGCGTGTTCGCCCATTCCTTACTCTGTTGCCTCGTTAGCGCGCCTTCCCTTTCCGCTAGACCATTCTCCCCAACATGTGTATCAGACAGAGGTGCCACTACTCATTTCCAACATCCTTGTTTCTGTCGTCTAAAATAGGCATTCCCATTTCCTCATCCTCTGCACTATCCCTAACCCGCATGCATCTCCGTCCCCCTTCACCCCATGCGTCTCCTTCCTCCGGCTCCCCTCCTCCTCAGCGCGTCCCCCCATGGCAGTCGCCCCCGGGAGGGGAGGGCGCGGGGAGGAGGGATGCGCGTTTCCCGCTGGGGTGAGGGTGCTGGGGAGCAGAAGGAGGGGGAGGAGCACAGGGAAGAGCCGCGGGAGGAGGGAAGGTGGGAGGAGGGGAGATGGGAGGAGGGGAGGTGGGAGGAGGAGGCTGAAGAGGAGAGGCCGCAGAGGGGAGGGAGAAGCGAGAGGGAGGGGGGGCAGGACACCAGGAAGGAGAGGCATGAGAGGGGGAGGAGGGAAGGATGGGAGGGGCAGGAGGGACGGCGTGAAAGGAGAGATAGCCGGGGGGAGGACAGGCATGAGCGGGGATGGGAGAGGGAGAGGGAGAAGGAGAGGGAGAGGGAGAGAGAGCGGGAGAGGCATGTTGGCAAGGGGGATGAGAGGGAGAAGGAGAATAGTGCAGGCTGGGAAAGGGATAGGCGGGATGACGGCAGAGAGGGGGGGAGTGGAGTAAGAGAAAGGGAAGGGAGCGGGAGAGGACGAGAGGGGAGGCGGTCTGAGGAGGGCGATAGGGAGGGAGAGCATTGGAGGGAGAGGCACGCGAATGGGAGGGAAGAGGGGAAAGAAGGGGTGGGGGAAGGGGTGAGGGAAGGGGAGAGAGAAGCACGGAGGGATGTGGGGCGGTCCAGTGGGTGGGATGACGCCGGGCAATGGTCAAAAGGTGGTGAAGCAGAGGGGGAGGCTGTAGATGCAGCACGGAAAAGGCCTGGTGGTGATGATACTGCTACTGGGGTCGCTGCTGCTGCTGCTGGAGCTGCTGCTGCTGCTGGTGAGAAGCTAGAGGGAGCGGTTTTAGATGGGGGGCAGGAGGACGGGAAGGAGGGTAAGGATGAGGGGGAAGGCCACGCAGCAGCAGCAGCAGCAGGTGGGTCGCGGAAATGGGCCTCCAAATGGGACAAGTCTGGCGGAAAAAGTGCCACTACTGCTGCTGCCCCTCCCGCTGCTCCTCCCTCTGCTGCTCCCCCGGCTGCTGCCCCCACTGTTTCTGCCCCTGCTGCCTCTGCCCCTGCTCCGTCTGCCCCCCCACCCTTTCCTCTTCCAGGCCTGCAACACCCCCACCAGCAGCCTCCCCATCAGCAGCAGGGATCATCCACAGCCCCTCCATTCAATCATCAGCCTCCTTTCAGGCCTGCATTCCCTCCCGCTCCTGCCTCCCACCCCCCCTTTGGCGCCGCCCCTCCTCACGCTAGCAGTTACCCTCCAGGACCACCTCACCAGCAGCAGCAGCACTCTAACTACCAGCAGCAGCAGGGACAGGGATACAGGCAGGGGCAAGGGCAAGCTCCGCCATGGGCTCCCCATGGGCCCCCACTTCCGCCTGTTCCCCCTCCCCCACTGCAGCCTCCGCCTAGCAATCCCCCTCCCCCGCTGCAGCCTCCCCCGCCCCTTCCCCCCAACCCCCCGCCTCCTATGCCTGGGGCGCAGCAGCAACATCCCCTCCACCAGGCGTTTAGGGGGTGGCCGCAGGGTCAGATGGGGGGAGTGGGCGGACCAGGGGGGGGAAGAGGGGAGGGAGCAGGGGGAGGGGGCGCATGGGAGGAGTATGACCCATTGGCGGATTGCATGGATTTGGCGGATGGGGAAAGCAATTTAGGGGGGCCTTGGAACCAGCGTCAGCAGCAGCAGCAGCAGCAGCAGCAGCAGCAGCAGCAGCAGCAGCAGCAGCAGCAGCAGCAGCAGCAGGGGGGTCCAATGCCACCGTTTACCTATAATTTTCCTGGGCACTCTCAGCCGTTCAATGCCGCCCATTCCCAGCCCCATCTTCAGGGCCAGCCACCCCCTGCCATGGCTCCTCACTTCAACCAACAACTACCACCTCCTCCTCCACCACCACTGCAACCGCCACCACCACATGCGGGGGGGCCGCCTTTCCCTGTGTCCAATGCAACCACCAGTGCCCCCCTCCATGCGTCTTCCTTCCCCCAGCTTCCTGCTGCCCCTGCGCACCCTTCTCTCTCCGCGTCTGGCCTCTCCCCTGCCCTGGCTTCGGCCCTCGCGAATGCTGCTGCTGTTGTCGCTGCAGCAGCTGCACCGGCAGGGGCACCAGTACCATCCCTTGCAGCAACAGCAGGTTCAGGGGCAGGTGGAGGGGCAGCAGCAGGAGGAGAGGGGGGCGGAGGAGGAGCGGGAGATACGGTGCAAGTACCCGTACCCACACTGCCGCTGCCACCGCCACTGCCAGGATCACAACCTGCCGGGAATGAACCTGGTCCTGGTGATGGAACAGATGCAAGCAAGCGTGGTGGTGTGCCTGGGGCAGAAAACGGCGGGGCGTCTTCAGATGACAAGGGAAAGACGGAGGAGGACGAGGTGTCTATGGAGGTAGATGGGAGGGATGAGGATGAGAAAGACAGTCTGGGCGGGGGCATGGAGGGAGAGAAGCCAGGCGGGGAAGGGGAGAAGGGGACTGGTCGGGAGAAAGGGAAGGGCGGTGAGAAGGAGAGGGCTGGGAAGAAGGACGGTAAGGGTGGGAGCAAACATGAGAGCCGGGAGGAGAAGGGGGGAGATGGGAAGAGTAAAGGTGGGATGAGCAGCAAGCAGGCTTTGCTGAGAGTGGGTGTGGCAGAAGTGGTTAAAGAGGCGCTTAAGCCGGTGTGGAAGGAGAGGGGACTGACCCGAGAGACATATAAGACGATTGCAAAGAAGGCAGTGGAGAAGGTGGTGGGGGCGGTCCAGGAGAAGCACCTGCCGAAGAACGAGAGGCAGGTGCAGGCGTATCTCAGCGAGCACAGGAAGGAGCGGATCACCTCGCTGGTTCAGGTGAGCTGTGTCTCAGTGCAATGCAATGGGGGCTTTGATGTTTGAGACTCGTTCAAGTAACAGCTACTCGAAGAAGGAGAAGCAGGTGCAGGTGGTTTTTTAAGCAAGCACAGCACGGGGCGGGGCAGATCACCCCGTTACGCCAGGTAGGTGGTCTTTGAGTGGGGGCGTTGATGGGGCCTTTGATGAGGGCTTTCAATGGAACCTTTGATGGGGGTTTTGAGATTCCATTAAGGAGGGAGAATGGGCTTGGGAAGTTGCCGTGGCAAGTTCGGAGTTATTGTGTTCTTCTTGCTCAGTTCTACTTTCCTGCGGGTGGTGGGTGTGTGGACATGCTGGTTGACAGGCTTGTGAGCAGGCTTGTGAGCAGGCTTGTGAGCAGGCTTGTGAGCAGGCTTGTGAGCAAGCTTGTGAGCAGGCTTGTGAGTAGGCTTGTGAGCAGGCTTGTGAGCAGGCTTGTGAGCAGGGTTGTGAACAGGCTTGTGAGCAGCCTCGCTGTGGCCCATCCTCTGTTGACATATCACTGTTTCATTTCCTCCCCCCACCATACCCTCATCTCAATCACCCCCCATCACGTTTTCAACCTCCGCTCTAACCCAAACCCTCCCCTCCCCCCCCCCCTGTTCTCTTGCCCGTCTCATATGCCCCGTTTTTGTAGGCCTACGTGGACAAATACAAAAAGGCTTGACCATTGGGAGTGTGGATGAAGGGCACCTATGAGCAGCTGAGTGTGCTCATGCCTGTGGGCCATGCATTCATTCGTCCTGTCAGCGATTGCAAGACGAAACCCCTCCATGTCGGCACTCGTAGATGGGGCATGCGATTATGCAAGCAGGATGTGGGATAATGCAGATAGGGAGAACCTTTTATGAAAAGGCTTGCCTTGGATTATAAGGGGAGTAAATAGATGTTGAAACAATCAGCATTGATCAATTACAGCATATTGTACAACAATTACAAAGGCATGTCTTCTAGGTTCAACCTGCAATAAGGAAATGCTCTTTGACGACGTTTAGAACTAATGGGAACATATAGATTCCTCACCCACAAATTTGTCCTCCCCAAAGCTTAACGCAACTGTGGAAACAAAGAGCAGTTTGACGTAGCAGCCGACTACAGAACTGTACCGTAACGAGGATGAGTGGTTCGGTTCGGGACTGGGGTTTGGGGGCTGTTCCTGCTTTGGGGGTGTAACGGAAATTTGAATAAACCGGACTTCACAGTACATCGGCACAGAACTGTAGCCAGGAGGGGGAGGAAGGGGAAATTTACGTCCGCGAACTGTCCGCAAATCTTTTCATACTTTCGTGGACAGCCCCTACTTTCATGGGCACCACATCAACCTTTTGCTTCTCCCGTGGACTCCATCCCTACTTTCATGGACATCTGCCTTACTTCCATGGACAAGGTCGAAATCGCAGGAAATAGGCGAAAACTCAACTGTACAAAAAATGACGGGTGCTGAAAAAAAAAAAACAGCGGCTCAGCGTGCGTCGCAAAGAGTCGCGCACCACAGTGCTTCAAACCTAATCTGAAACAAAATCTCCCAGAAATTGGAAACATGACTTTCACGCCAGGTTTTCGTTTGGTGTGTTTGGCACAAAAAGTCCTGTGACGTGTGATTCGGCAGGCAGTACCCACGCATTTCTACGTAACTGTACTTCAGAAGGAAAAATCGGTACGCTCTGTAAATTTGTCTAGCAGTTCAGACTAGTGCTGCTGTTTTTGTTTATATCATATTCACAAAAAGAAAGGTTTCTTTCTCATGATTAATGTTTTTTGGAGAATTTCCCTGCATAACTTCCAAAATATATTATGTTTTTTAATAAAGCTCTAAATAAAAATGCTTCATTGAAATATAATTCTGATTCTGTTTTGGATTAGGTTTGGGGCACTGTAGTGCGCGACTCTTTGCGACGCACGCTAAGCCGCTGTCTTTTTTTTTCAGCGCCCGTCATTTTTTTGTACAGTTGAGTTTTCGCCTATTTCCTGCGATTTCGACCTTGTCCATGGAAGTAAGGCGGATGTCCATGAAAGTAGGGACGGAGTCCACGGGAGAAGCGAAAGGTTGATGTGGTGTCCATGAAAGTAGGGGCTGTCCACGAAAGTATGAAAAGATTTGCGGACAGTTCGCGGCAGTAATTTTCCCGGGAGGAAGGGTACAGTGCGCTATAGAGCGGCAGCGGCCAGGGGAGGGGAGGGGAGGGGAGAAGCAGCGAGTCAGGTGCGGAAGGGGAGGCAGACAGTGGCCTTTTTCAGCAGTTTTGTCCCAGCATCGCATCTGCTTGTACAGTGCAGTTTTCTGAGGTCCTTCGCATCTGCTTTGCGACGGCTCCTGGCTACAGTGAGACGGAAGTCTTGGGTTGTGGTGGTGGTGTCATGGTCGTCGTTACGTTACTCGTGCGACTAGAGACTAGAGTCGTGATTTGAGGCGGGGTTGGGAGTTCGAGTTAGACAGCATCAGCACAACCTAATTACCAGTTGACCCCTGTTAGGACTCGGTCAGTAATTAGGATGATTCAGAAGCTGATTAGCGAGAGATTGGCAGCAAAGCGGAATTGGCCCGCAGCAGCCATGGAATGCCTTTCGTCCAGAGCGCAAGGTCTTCTGTCAGGCTATGCTGCTTAGCGAAAAAACCAAGAACTAAGAAACTTGAAGCAGTTCGCGTACACTGACCCAAGGCTTTCAGGTCGAGCGAGCGTCGTGTACGTGTACCGGGAAGCTTCAAGAACCAAGCCGAGTTCCCCTTAATCCACTCCACTCCAGTCCACGTGGACCCATTAACCTAGGTTCGACTCGTTTCGTATCGGTTCGTTTCTCCCCGTTAGCGCCCTCGGCCTAGGTAGCTCGCACGCCCGCCTCGCGCACCCGCCTAGCGCGCCCGCTCGTCCCTTCATCGCTCTAGTTTTAACACGCGCGGCGACCGGCGGATAGGCGTTTCATAATGGCTGAAGAAACTAGCTTGGGTACAGCAGACCACGCTACTTTAGAGACGTCTTTAAACGCCGCGGAGGAGCATCCGCCCGCGCGCTCCGCGCAGCTGTCAGAAGCGGCATCAGCGCCGGCTTTGGCGCAAGCATCGGCGGAAGCGGAGCTGGCCGCTGCGGCACGAGCCGATGCGCCTGCGCCCGCGCCTGCGCCTGCGCAAGCGCAAGCGCAAGCTCTTAGCAGGGCCGATCCCGCGAGTAGTGTCGCGTCAACGGCAGGAAGGCCGAGCGCGTCTTTAGGTCAAGTGACCACGCCCACTTCCAGCGAGCTCTTAGCCGCTTCCCCTTCCCCGTCGTCCGCGGAGCCTCTCCCGCCTGCAGACGCTGCTGCGCGCGCAGACGCGCCCAGGCCCGACCCCGCGCCTGTGCCTGCGCCTGCGCCTGCGCTCCCACCCCCTGCTCCGGACGCGGCTGCAGAAAAGGCTCCGCCAGTCGACGCGGCCAAAGACGGGCTCTCCCCGGCCGGGGCGGAGGCGGGGGCGGAGGCGGGGGCAGCGGGGGCAGCTGGCGGAAAACCTAAGATGGCGCGGTGGCGGGGGAAGAAGGAGATTGTTGTGGGGCGGCAGGCGGTGAGGCGTCCGCGGGTAGGCGGACAGAGCGGCACGTGGAACCTAACTCTGGGCGGCGCGGGGAAAGACAACCAGCAGCAGCAGCAGCAGCAGCAAAAGCAGCAGGCGACTATGCAGTTCACAAACCGTTTTAACGTAGGGAAGAAATTAGGAGAGGGAGGGTACGGACTCGTGCAAACCTGCAGCGACACGACAGGCGAGCTCGGCGAGGGGCCACTAGCCGTTAAGACCATCTCTAAGGAGGCGCTCTACGCAGACTGCCAGCGGCTCGAGGACTTCGAGGCGCGCCGCATCGCGTTGGCGCGCGAAGTTGAGGTGATGGACCGCGTGCGCGGCCACGAGCACGTGGTGCAAGTTAAGAAGGTCTACAACAACAGCGAGCGCCTGCGCGTCGTCATGGAAATGTGCGAAGCGGGTAACCTTCACGAACACCTCGCAGCGCGAATCGAGCTCATTCGCCAAGAGCGAGGCAGCTTCGGCAGCATCGGCGGGTTTTTCGGCTCCAGCGGCGGCGGCGGCGGCGGTGGAGGCGGCATCGGCGGGCTCTTCGGCGGCGGAAGCAGCGGCGGAGGGGGGACAGACGGGCGGGGCGCGCACGGCGGGCGCGGGCCGTGGGCGGGCGGGCTGCCGGAAAACGAGGCGGCCGTTCTGTTCAAGCAGCTGGTAGAGGGAATCGCGTTCTGCCACCGGCGCCGCGTGCTGCACCGAGACGTTAAGCTCGAAAACGCGCTGCTCGCGCTGCCCACGGGGCGCCGCGCAGAGGCGGACGACCTGCAGGCGGAGCTGCGCATGGCCGCCGCGGACATGGCGCACGGGGGGATCGACGCGGGGGGGGCGGAGGGGGGGGGGTGAGGGGGGCGGGGGACACGAACGAGGGCAAGGAGAGGAGGTTGTTTCCACACCGGCTAGCCCGCAGCCGCACCACCACCACCACCACCACCACCACCACCACCACCACCACCATTTCAACCTCTTCAGCATTCTTCCCCAGGGTGCCAGGTCCCCGGCTCTCAAATCGCCTGTCGCAGACAAATCCCCCAGGCAGCATTCTCCAGGCAATAACATGCCTCCTCCTCCTCCTCCTCCTCCTCCTCCTCCTCCTGCTGCTGCAGCGGCGGCCCCGGCGTTCCCACACTCCGCCTCAGCCCCGGGAGGCACTGCGCCCAAATCCCCGGTCAACGGCCGGCCCCCACTCTCCCCTCGGCTTGGGGCGCGCATCCCGCCGTCCCCGTCCGAGTCTTCCGCCCCTTCCGCCGCCGCCGTTGCCGCTGCTGTTTCGGCCGGCACGTCCGCGGTTTCTCTCGGCCTCGTGGTAAAACTTGCGGATTTCGGATTCGCTCTAGTGCTTCGGGATGGGCAAACGGCCTCGGGAACGTGCGGAACGCCCGGGTACATGGCCCCGGAATTAGTAGCCGAGGAAAAATACTCCTTCCCAGCGGATATCTGGAGTCTAGGGGTGGTGCTGCACGCGTTACTCTTTGGCGAGTTACCGAGCTACCGCGAGCTGAAGGATGTGATCACGGAGGGCGTGCCCCGGCCATCTGCCCGGAAATGGAAAACTGTTTCGGAACCTGCCCGTGAGCTCCACCAGGCTATTCTTCAGCTGGATCCGTCCAAGCGGCCCACGGCTGCCGAGATTTTGAAGCACCCGTGGTTCGAGCATGCCGAAGCAGCACTTGCAGCAGCAGCATGTGACATGGCCGAAGGTGGGGGGATGATGGGAGATGTGGAGGGGGGGGGATCGGGGCGAAGAGCGGGAGGGCGAGAAGCGCGAGAGGGGCGAGCGGGAGGGTAAAGTCTGGTAGAAATATGGAGTTTTTGGGGATGAAGGGTGGGGGAGGGAAGGAGGGAATGCGGGTAGGAGTGGGGGGCGAGGATAAGGGCATAGTTTCCCCTCCCGCGTCTCCCCGTGTGTTGGTCCTTAGGATGAAACTAGGTGCAAAGAACCTAGCGTTTAGGTTTAAGTACGGCTTTATCCCCACTGCAGCTTCGGGCAAGAAGCAGCTTGAAGAAGAGGAGAAAGCGGAGGAGGGGAAAGGGAAGGAGGAGGGACAAGGGTAGTGAGTGGGGGGGGGGAGTAGTGGGAGAGTAGTTCTGGGAGAGTAGTGGGAAAGTAGTTCTGGGAGAGTAGTGATAGCAGTGAGAGAGCAGTGGGGCGATAGTGGGAAATAGGTGGGTAGTTGTAGAGCAGGGAGCAGAGATGTGCGGTGGTGAAGTGCTGTTGGGTCTGAATAAAGAGCAGCCAGCAGCCCGGTTTCCTTCTCCCTCCAAGGTGCCCTGTGCTAGAAGCGACACAGCCGCCACCTGGCAGCGGGAGGGAGCAAGGGAAGGGAGGAAAGGGAGACGGCAAGATGTGTGCTGAACGTCACGGACGTGCCCCGTTTTGGGCAGCGGGGTGGGAAGAATGGAAGGGTTAATGCGGGGACTGAAGGGGTAGGGAGTGTGGAGCAACCCTGGTTGTGAGCATCATGTGGTGGGGCATCAGCCTTGCGGTGTGGGGTGGGATAGCTGACCTGTTGAGGTACGGTATGGAGGAGGGGAGGGGATGGGAGAACCACCAAGGGGAGCAGCACAGTACGAGAGGTTTGGCTGGCAGGTTGTGGTAGACGGAGAGGAGAGCTGAGCATGCTCCTTGCTGGTGCTTCTTTCACTTCGTTTTTCCCTCCTAGCAGCGTATTCAAGAAAGTAACCATCGCTGTCGTGTGCTGCTGCTGACATGGCTCGGCAAGTACCGGTATGGGCTGGCTGGCTGGGAGGCTGGGAGGCTAGGAGGCTGGCTGGCTGGGAGGCTTACATCTTTATTTACAGTACCACTGTGCGGTCGTGTGCTTGACTAGACAGGTTGGTGCTGCACTGCTGCGGCAGAGTATCGTAAGATTTCCACTCACCTCACCCTGTGGGCTGCTGCCCTGCCTCTGATTGGTAGCTCGGATGATTACTACTATCGGTACTGTAGGTTGGTGTTTTTGTCAGAGTGTTACACAGACCAGATCAGTCCATGGCTGGCCTTGGAATTGGGTGGTGTGTTTATTGTAACTACGGTATTAGAGCGTGTTCTTATGGCCTCTTCCCAGGCCAACCTCTTCCCTGACTTTCCCTCGCCTGAATCTCGGCAATGCCGAACCCAATTTCGCGTCACACTATGCGGAACCGCACTCAACCAGGCCTGACGTTTCAAAAAAACCCCCCCTGAGCTGTCGACTAAAAAAAAAAATTTACCCTGAGGGCTCAGTGTGTCAAACATGTGTATTTGTCATGTTTGTATAGACTGTATAGGGTCGCCTCTTAGAGAGTACAACACTTAGGTATATCTGTGTGTACTCTCACTCTAACATTCACTTCTCAATTTTGTTATGGTATCACGCGTAGGTAGGATCCCCCCCCCCCCCCACCTACCGCTTCCGCTCACCCCTCTAGCGCCCCTCCTGGGCCCCGTCGCACCCCTCACTGGGCCCCGTCGCGCCCCTCCCAGGCCACGTCGCGCCCCTCCTAGGCCCTGTACCGCCCCTCCTGGGCCTCGTCGCGCCCTTCCTGGGCTCCATAGCGCCCCTCCTGGGCCCCGTCGCGCCCCTCCTGGGCCCCGTCGCGCCCCTCCTGGGCCCTGTAGCGCCCCTCCTGGGCCCCGTCGCGCCCCTCCCAGGCCCCGTCGCGCCCCTCCTAGGCCCCGTAGCGCCCCTCCTAGGCCCCGTCGCGCCCTTCCTGGGCCCTGTAGCGCCCCTCCTGGGCCCCGTCGCGCCCCTCCCAGGCCCCGTCGCGCCCCTCCTGGGCCCCGTAGCGCCCCTCCTGGGCCCCGTCGCGCCCTCCCTGGGCCCTGTAGCGCCCCTCCTGGGCCCCGTCGCGTCCCTCCCAGTCCCCGTCGCGCCCCTCCTAGGCCCCGTAGCGCCCCTCCTGGGCCTTGTCGCGCCCCTCCTGGGCTTCGTAGCGCCCCTCCTGGGCCCCGTCGCGCCCCTCCTGGGCCCCTGTAGCGCCCCTCCTGGGCCCCCGTCGTGCCCCTCCTGGGCCCCTGTAGCGCCCCTCCTGGGCCGCGTCGAGCCTCCCCCCTCCTGGGCCCCGTCACGCCTTCAGGCCCCGTCGCGCTCGCCCGGCCCCGTCGCCCCAGCCCGGCCCCGTCGCACCAGCCCGGCCCTGTCGCACCAGCCCGGCCCCGTCACGCCCACCCGGCCCCGTTGCACTCGCCCGGCCCCGTCGCCCCCTGCCCGGCCCCGTCGCAGCCGCCCGACCCCGTCGCACCCGTCCGGCCCAGTCGCGCCCGCCCAGCCCCAGTGCGCCCCTCCTGGGCCACCGTCCTGCTCACCCAGCCCCGTCGCACCGGCCCGGCACCGTCGCACCAGCCCGGCCCCGACGCACCCGCCCGGCCCCGTCGCACCAGCCCGGCCCCTGCGCTTGTCCCTGCCCCGGCCCCGGTCCTCCTCACTGGTACGGTTCCCCCCCCCCCCCTTGCCTTGCACTGCCCTGCACCGTACTGGCACCGCACTGCACCGCCCTACACCGCTCTGCATCGCACTGTACCGCACTGCACCGCACTCCACCTTGCTGCACTGCCCTGCACCGCACTGCACTGTTCCTGATGGCGGCGGAGCTTCGCTTCGACGCTGAAGGCCAGCCTCTGGAGTTCGAGGCGTGGCTTGCCGACCTCCGTCGCCAACTCACTGGCCAGCGGCAGGATGGTGAACCGCTTTCCGCACACCTTGACGGTACGCTCCCCTGCCCAGACCCCCCTGCTATTCTGCCCGCTGACTCCACACCCACTGAGCGCGAGTCCACTGCTGCCACTGCCCGTGCGCGCTCTGTCTGGCTTTCTCGCGATGCTGTCGCCCAGCTTGCCATCAGCAACGCCCTTCCCCCGTCCGAGTGCCCTCGCTTTAGGTCTCTCACCACTGCTCAGGCATACTTAGATGCTGTCATCCAGCGCTATTCCACCCCTCCGGCTGCCTCGGTGGGTCGCCTGATCCTCCCGATGCTCTTTCCTGACCTTGCATCTTTCCCCACTGTCTCTGACCTCGCTGCCCACCTGCGCTCGATAGATGAGACCTGGCGTGCAGCCTGCACTGATGCACAGCTTAGAGCCCACCAGCCGCCCATTACCTCTACCCTCTACCTGCTTGCCACCCGCCTCCCTGACCGCCTTGCTGTCGCCCGCGACCGCTTCCTTAGCATTCACCCCGCAGACCTCACCCTCACTGACTTTGTAGACACCCTGACTGTGATAGAGACCCGTCACCGCTCCATCGCCCAGGCGAGCGGTGTCGTGCCGGTCCCTATCTTTCAGGGTTGTGCCCCCGCCCAGTGTACCTTCTCCGACGGCTCTGCCACAGTGGCTGAGACTGCTGCTGCAGCGCAGTTTCGTTCGGGGAAGGGCCGCCGCCCCAAGGTTGGGCGCGGCAGCGGCGGCGGCGGGGGTGCGGGAGGGGGTAGTGGTGGGGTCGGGTCGTCTGGTGCTGGAGCGGACGAGGGGACCCTGCCCAGTCCAGCTGAGCCGCCGCCCCTGCAGTTTCAGCAGCCGCAGCAGCCGCCGCAGTCGCAGCCTTCGCAGCAGCCGCAGCAGCCGTCGCAGACGCGGCAGACGAGTGTCCTCCCGCCCGGGTGGCCCGGCGCTGGCGGTGGCCGGGCGCGTGGTGGTGTGCCGAGTGGTGGCTCTGGTGGCGGGCGTTGTCAGTACCAGATCCAGACCGGTCCTCGCCGCGGTTTCGTTTGCGGTAGGCTCGGTCACTCCACTCCCCGCTGTTTTCGTCGCCTGGACGACCTCTTTCGTCAGCGCTCCGGCCCGTCGCCAGACCTCCCGGACTGGCACAGTTTGCTTAGTCGTAAGATTCAGATCTTTGATATGGACATGGATGCCATTGTTGCTGCTCTGCATGTGATGTATGCTGATGACTCTAGTGTGCTTCCCGCTTATTACTCACTGTTGCCTAGTGTAGGTGTGCCTAGCTTAGCCTCCCCTGCTGCGTCAGGCGTAGGATCCCCTGCTTTGTGTAGTCTTGGTGCTTCCGCCGTCGTTCCGTTGCCAGACGCCTCTGCTTCGCTTTCCTTCACCTTGGACTCTGGCGCTTCTCGGTGTTTCTTCCACGACTCTACCACCCTGACGCCGCTTCCTGTCCCAGCTGCCGTCTCTCTTGCTTACCCCTCCGGCGGTCGGGTCGTCGCCCGCAGTTCCACCACCCTTCCCTGTCCGGCGGTTCCTTCGGGCTCTCTCACAGGTCTGCATATCCCCTCGTTCTCCAGGAACCTAGTTGGTGTCGGCTGCCTCCAGGACCTTGGCGTCACCACTACGTTCCCTGGTCACGAGCGGTATGCTGTCTGTACCGAGGCCGCCACTAGTGCCCCCCTGTCCACGTTCCCCCGGGACCCGGTGTCCGGCCTGTTCACTCTGGACACCGTGACCCCCCCCGGCTGGGGCGCCTCCTCAGGTGGCTGCGTCTACCCAGGTTGCTGCTGCCTGCTCCTGTCGGTCCCTCACTCACCCGACTCTCCTTTGGCACCACCGCCTAGGTCACCCTGCGCTCCCGCATCTGCGTCACATGTCCCAGCACGGTCTTGTCCTTGGTCTCCCAGGTTCCCTCCCCGCGTTTCCCTCCTCCCCAGCCCCACCTTGCACGCCTTATGTTGAGGGTCGGCTTCGCCGTGCCCCTCACTCCTCCTCGTTTCCCCCTACCGCCGCGCCGCTGCAGACCCTGCACCTGGACGTCTGGGGCCCCGCCCCCGTCCCTGGGCCGCGTCGCGAGCGCTACTTCCTTGTGCTTGTCGATGACTTTACTCGTTACACCACAGTCTTTCCCCTGGAGCGCAAGGCCGACGTGCCTGGCGCTCTCATCCCCTGGCTTGTCTCTGCGCGTGTCCACCGCGGTCTCCCTGTCTTGCGTCTTCACTCCGACCGTGGTGGCGAGTTTGCCTCAGGTGTCCTTGGTCGCTTTTGTCGTGCGGAGGGCATCACCCAGACGTTCACCCTACCGGACTCCCCACAGCAGAATGGGGTCGCTGAGCGACGCATCATGTTTGGTCATGGAGGTTGCTCGCACCTCCATGATCCATGCCGGTGCACCCCATTTTCTGTGGCCGTTCGCTGTGCGCTACGCTTCTCACCAGCTTAACTTGTGGCCGCACCCTCAGCAGCCGCAGGTTTCGCCGACTCGTCTTTGGACTGGGTCTCCTGGTGACGCGTCTGCGTTCCACGTCTGGGGCTGCCTTGCTCACGTCCGTGCCTCCGGCACGGACAAGCTCACTGCCCGCACCCTTCCCTGCGTCTTCTTTGGTTTTCCCCTTGACGCGTCCGACTGGCACTTTTACCACCCGCCGTCTCACCGCTTCTTTCACTCTCGTGACGTCACCTTTGACGAGTCCGTCTCCTACTACCGTCGCTTCCCCCACCGTGGTCCCCCGGTTAACCCCCCCTATTCCTGGTCACTCCTTCCCCAGTAGTCCCTGCCCCTCCTCCTCCTCCTCCCCGTCCCGCCCCCTCTGGTGTGTCCCACGTCACCCCCCTTCCGTCGGTGGACCCGGTTGAGGAGTCTTCTGACTCTGGTGGCCCTCCTGTTCAGTCCTCGCCGGCCGCCCCTCTCCTAGCGTCCCCTCCCCAGTCCCCCCCTCCACCGCCTCTGCCGCCGCTGCAGCCGTCGTTGTCGCTGCCGCTGCTGCCGCCGCCGCCGCCGCCGTCGCAGCACCCGTTCGCTGACTCTGGGGGTGCTCGTCCCGGTAGCCCTGGGGGTGGTCCCTCTGGGGGTGCTGGTGTGGAGAGTGCCGGTGGTAGCCGAGGAGCAGCTTGCGGTCCCGGTGTCGCCGTTGTGCCGCCGCAGCAGCAGTCCCCGCCGGTGTCAGCCCTTCGCCTGCTCGGTCTTCCGTCCCCCGACCCTGCGTCGGTTCCTCCCCGGCCGTCTCCTCCTCTTCCTGTCTACGGCCCTGTCTTCCCTCCGCCGGACTCGTCCCCGGCCCGTCCCCCCCCTCGTTCCCCTCCTTTGTCCCCTCCTCTGTCTCCTGACCCGACTCCTCCGTTGCACGTCTGGTCTCACCGTCCCTCCCGCGCTCGTCCTGCCTCGCCTGTCTTGCGCTCCCACCCTATGTTGCTTCGTTCCCAC